TGATAGGATGCTACCAGGGCTCGACCCAGCTCGAATTGAACTGTTTTTACTGTTCGCCCCACTTTTGCTATGACACACCGAGGGCTGGATTTATTCCTCCAATTCGACCGGCTTCAAACAGAATCCTACAAAGCTCGGAGCAGTTTCAATAGAATCCTGCTAGATTTGAATCCAACTCTAATGGGGTCCTACCGAAGCCCATTCCAGCTTTACTGCCATGTTGCTTTGGTTGGACCCAACCCCCATATCATCCTAATAGGGCTCGATCCAGCCCCAACACACGATCCTCCTCCTCCTCCTCCTCCTCGTCCTCCTCCTCCTCCTCCTCCTCCTTCTCCTCCTCCTCTTCAAGACCTGTAGCTGTGAAGGTACGGAGGCCATGTAGAGGATGCTGGCCCTCAGCCTTCGGATTTCGATCTGCCCTAAAGCATGTCGTCAGCTCTGACATGGACTTCAGCCCCCGTGGTGTGCGTTGTTGTCCTTGTCGTCCGTCGCAGGTCTCGCTTGACCGAAGAGACAATGTGTTGTGCTTACACCGCATCCCCAGCGACTCCACGGCATGCCAGGCTCTTTAAAAAATATCAGATTTGGACCACGGTTTGATGGAATTACACGAAAGCTCGATCCAGCAAAAATGCAACATCTGTTATAGAATTCAATATAGACCTGGATGCATCTTACATAGAATCCTAGTAGGGCTCGATCTGGGCTGTCTCCAGATTGAATAAAACCCTACGAGGGCTCGATCCAGCTTGAAGAGGATCCGACGAGGGCTCGATTTAGCTTTAATTGCATAGGCTCAATCGTCGTCGGCGTCGTCGTAGGCGTCTTCGTCGTAGGCGTCGGCGTCTGCTCGGCGTCGTCGGTGCCGTCGGCATCGGCGTCGGCGTCGGCGTCGTGGTCGTCGTGGTCGTCGTGCGTCGTGCGTCGTCGGGTCGTCGTCGTTGCCAGGGGGGGCTTCGCTTCTGGACCCCTCCAAATAATTTTTCCCTGGGGGGGGACCCCCCTCCTATAATTATCCAAATTTTCCCGCGAGGGGAGAGGAGGAGGGGCGGGGTCCAGAACCCCCCCTCCCCCCTTGTTTTGGGGGGATGGGGGAAGGGGGTGAACCGCATGTCGGACCAATCCCAACCGACTGGTACCAATCCCAAGCAACCTGGCCACTTCTCAACCGGCCGATATACCAACTGGCACAAATTACAACCCGTCATCTTTGATTCTATGTGTGGAGCAGCTAAGACGATTCAAAAATCTCAACCAGCGTTGACTCCAAATAGATTAGACGACTCGAATCAATGAATCAGAAGAATCAAGCAAGCTTGGAATCCGCAATTCAGCAAGCAAGTAAGCGTGCAAGCAAGCGCGCAAGCAAGCAAGCAAGCAAGCGTGCAAGCGCGCAAGCAAGCGAGCGAGCAAGCAAGCAAGCAAGCAAGCAGGCATAGGCATAGGCGTAGGCAGGGAGTTAGGGGGGAGGCATAGGCATAGGCATAGCCATAGGAATTAGGGGGCATAGGAATCAGGGTGGGGGGGGCAACGGACCAATTAGTAGGATTTGAGCTAGAACTCCTTTAGGGCAAGCCTATATGGAGAATAGAATACACGTCTTAAGACTGCATATTCACTCTGGCAAACAACATGAGTGCAACGGTCGGCATTTCAACGAGTCACTGTCCGACACATGGGAATTATTGAATATGAGCAAAGGTCGCTAATACTACTGGAGGTATACGGCTGATGTATGAGAACTGGACAGCTTTCGCACGACAGCTGCGTAAAGCGTCGCGCTGTTTGTTCCCAACCCTCCTTAGTTGGGTACTCGTTTTGAGTAGAGGGGGGTGGTCGCGCCCTCCTCCTCCCGCCTCCCGCCTCCTCCTGCCCTCTCTTCGCCGACGATGGGGGCTGCGATCTGCAAAACTGTCGCCAATTTCGAAGACTGCTGCTGGGTCCTGCGGAGTGAGGCACCGCGCAGATCTGAGCGAGACCTCGCCGTCCCTGGGGGGGTGCGATCTGCGAAACCGTCGCCACGTTCGAGGGCTGCTGGTGGGTCCTGCGGAGTGAGGCACCGCGCAGATCTGAGCGAGACCTCGCCGTCCCTGGGGGGCTGCGATCTGCGAAACTGTCGCCACTTTCGAGGGCTGCTGGTGGATCCTGCGGAGTGGAGCGCCGCGCAGATCTGAGCGAGACCTCGCCGACCCTGGGGGGCTGCGATCTGCGAAACTGTCGCCACGTTCGAGGGCTGCTGGTGGGTCCTGCGGAGTGGAGCACCGCGCAGATCTGAGCGAGACCTCGCCGTCCCTGGGGGGCTGCGATCTGCGAAACTGTCGCCAGTTTCGAAGGCTGCTGGTGGGTCCTGCGGAGTGAAACACCGCGCAGATCTGAGCGAGACCTCGCCGCCCCTGGGGGGGCTGCGATCAGCGAAACTGTCGCCACTTTCGAGGGCTGCTGGTGGGTCCTACGGAGTGAGGCACCGCGCAGATCTGAGCGAGACCTCGCCGCCCCTGGGGGGCTGCGATCTGCGAAACTGTCGCCACGTTCGAGGGCTGCTAGTGGGTCCTGCGGAGTGAGGCACCGCGCAGATCTGAGCGAGCCCACGCCGTCCATGGGGGGGTGCGATCTGCGAAACTGTCGCCACTTTCGAGGGCTGCTGGTGGGTCCTGCGGGGTGAGGCACCGCGCAGATCTGAGCGAGACCTCGCCGCCCCTGGGGGGCTGATCTGCGAAACTGTCGCCACTTTCGAGGGCTGCTGATGGGTCCTGCGGAATGACGGAGGCACCGCGCAGATCTGAGCGAGACCTCGCCGTCCCTGGGGGGGTGCGATCTGCGAAACCGTCGCCACTTTCGAGGGCTGCTGGTGGGTCCTGCGGAGTGAGGCACCGCGCAGATCTGAGCGAGACCTCGCCGCCCCTGGGGGGGCTGCGATCTGCGAAACTCTCGCCACTTTCGAGGGCTGCTGGTGGGTTTGCGGAGTGAGGCACCGCGCAGATCTGAGCGAGACCTCGCCGCCCCTGGGGGGGGCTGCGATCTGCGAAACTGTCGCAACGTTCGAGGGCTGTTTGGGGGTGCCAGCATAGCGATCTGCGGAACTGTCGCCACTTTCGAAAGCAGCTGGTGGGTCCTACGGAGCGAGGCACCGCGCAGATCTGAGCGAGACCTCGCCGCCCCTGGGGGGCTGCGATCTGCGAAACTGTCGCCACTTTCGAAGGCTGTTGGTGGGTCCTGCGGAGTGAGGCACCGCGCAGATCTGAGCGAGACCTCGCCGTCCTGGAGGGGGTGCGATCTGCGAAACTGTCGCCACGTTTCGAGGGCTGCTGGTGGGTCCTGCGGAGTGGGGCACCGCGCAGATCTGAGCGAGACCTCGCCGTCCCTGGGGGGCTGCGGTCTGCGAAATTGTCGCCACTTTCGAGGGCTGCTGGTGGGTCCTGCGGAGTGAGGCACCGCGCAGATCTGAGCGAGACCTCGCCGCCCCTGGGGGGCTGCGATCTGCGAAACCGTCGCCACTTTCGAAGGCTGCTGGTGGGTCCTGCGGAGTGAGGCACTGCGCAGATCTGAGCGAGACCTCGCCGTCCCTGGGCGGGCGCGATCTGCGAAACTGTCGCCACTTTCGAGGGCTGCTGGTGGGTCCTGCGGAGCGAGGCACCGCGCAGATCTGAGCGAGACCTCGCCGCCCCCTGGGGGCTGCGATCTGCGAAACTGTCGCAACTTTCGAGAGCTGCTTGGGGGTGCCAGCATAGCGATCTGCGTAACTGTCGCCACTTTCGAAGGCGGCCGGTGGGTCCTGCGGAGAGAGGCACCGCGCAGATCTGAGCGAGACCTCGCCGCCCCTGGGGGGCTGCGATCTGCGAAACTGTCGCCACTTTCGAAGGCTGGTGGCGGGTTCAGCGGAGCGAGGCACCAGGCAGACCTGAGCGAGACATCGCAATCCTTGGGGGGCTGCGAGCCTCACGAATGCCGCTCGCAGAATATGCGCCCATGTCACGTCATCACCTCAGTATAACGTATCCCAAGCTACTCATGCCCCGCATTGCGCAGGGCTTGGGTACGTCGCCAGGGTAATTGCTGATGCGAGGGCTGTGGGAGTTCCATCAGCGTGCAGCAAAATTCTCAAAAACGAAATGTGAAGATCCATATATATATATATACATAGAAAAATGAGAAGCTCATAGTGTGCATATGAAACTTCAGCTGTCAAGTGGAACCAGGAAGGACGCTTCAAATGCGCAAGTTTCACAAACGGGCAATTACATGGCATGTGACACCTCGAGGGTTTGCGTAATTTCGCGTCGGGCTGGTGTAACCTGTACATGGAATGTTCACACATACTCGCGTGGGTATTGTATTGGTTGCTTGAAGTGCATGATTGCCGGTGCTTTGTGTTTCGTTTTGTGTAGCAGATGTGTGTGCGTATATATATATATATATGAAACGCCAAGGCCTATTTTCCGCCAGGCGTGCGAAGCGATGCTATCTCTGGTGTCGACTAGTCCCCCGACTTTGCAATCACAGTACAGAAGGGTGTCGAGCTCGGGGCGACACCCAACTCAAGACGCGAAGCAAACTCCAGTTTCGTTCCTGTAATATTTAGAAGGAGAGGGCGGCGGTGGGGCAGACGGTTGGCCAGGAAAAACGATGGATCGGAGACGGCGTGTTTCGGTCTTCTGCATATCATTAATCAGCAAGCTTTGTCAAATGAAACGCCCAGGCCTATTTTCCGCCAGGCGTGCGAAGCGATGCTATCTCTGGTGTCGACAAGTCTCCCGACTTCGCAATCACAGTACAGAAGGGTCTCGAGCTCGGGACGACACCCAACTCAAGACGCGAAGCAAACTCCAGCACTTTGTGCATAGAACGGAACTTCTCTCCAAAAACGCAACTGGCATCAGCCGCACCAGAATTTCTGACTCTCTGTACTTGTCTCTCAGCAAGCGCAAGTTGGAAGCAACGAACGATGCTGGCACACAGGTCGGCTGGGTAAGCCTCGGCAAGGAGCGCGAGGAAAACGCCAGCAGGGTTCTTCCCTTGAAGCTGGTCACGCGGCCGACCTGCGCGGGAGCAGATTCCACGGGGGCCGCAACAAAGACGACCCAGAGGCTACAGGTCAACATGATCGTACACGATGCGAGTCCATGTCCGACACGACTGGCCGAATTGGCAAAAATCCAGCACGACAGTGCGGCATTTCTCAGCAGGCTGCTGAACTGAGCCGTCAGCCATATTCTAGACAAATGGGGATTCTCGATAGCGACTGGCACTCGCACGGCCTGGCACAAGGTAAAAAGCGAGGCTGAAAACTTCATTAAGGCGTTGCCGACCCTAACCTTCTCGGCGTCACGAGGCGCCAGGTCGGGCAAGCCCATCACGTGCACATCACTCCGAAGGGGCGGTGGCCCGGGTCGGATGTCTCGCGCGCGACTCCAGCTGTGGCAGGGGGCCCCCAGCCACACGGCAGCGATCAGCCCGTTGTTGACCCATCCCCGCACGAGGCGCCGAGCACGCTGGCGGGCCAGGTCATACTCGTCGCCCCAGCGGAGGTCCCACTCAAAGATGGCATACCCCAGGACACGCTGCCGTCGCCGCCAGGCTCGGCTGAGGTTGCCGGAGCCGCTGAACACTTCGAGCGCTACGGCGCCGCCCGCACGGGCGGCAAAGTTTGGCAGCGCCCGCAGAGGATGCCGCCAATCTTCTTGGCGCAGGCGATGGCGTGCTCGAGGAAAAGCTCCGGCAGCTTGGCCAGCTGGTCGGCGATCGGGCCGCCCTTGCCGCACCTTGTCACCGAGCTGTCGCTCGCCCAGCGGCCGCGAGCCTTCACCTCTGGGATGCTGCGGCGGCCGCTGGCGAGGTCGGCAGACGCCCCGCCGTGCCGCAGCTGGTACAGGCCCGGCGGGCCCTCGAGCCCCAGCTGTCGGCCCGCCGCTCGGAACGCCTGCGCCAGCTGCACGTAGCGCACCTGCGCCACCAGCTCTTTGTCGCCCACGCTGGCCTTGAGCAGCTTCAGCACGTCCCCGATGAAGCTGTAGAACGGCAGGTCGCCAAGGAGGCTCTCGTTGCACGCGCCAGTCTTGCTGGGCGTCTCCTCCTCCATCGGGAACAGCACGATCGACCAGGCGTTGCGCCCGGCCGCCCGCACCGGCGGCACCACCTGCCGCCCGGTCAGCGACATCAGCTCCACGGGTCGAAGGTAGAAGACGAAAATCACGATGATGAGGCGCGCGGCGCGCAGGTCCTGGCTGGCTGCCAGCTGGTTTGCCACCGCGCACGTGACCTCCCACGGGAGCGGGAGCCGGCTGCGAGGCGGGACCAGCCGCCTCCATCCCTTCAGAGCGCGGGCGAACCTGGGCAGCCCGACTGTGGCCAGCAGCCGCGGGTAGTAGTACTGCAGCACCGCCTTCAGCCTGGTCCCCTCCTGCGCGTCGCCGCCGTCGAAGAACGTCTGGCGGGCCCACTCCAGGGCCACCTCGTCGTAGTCGGCGGCGGTCCTGAGGCGGAGGCCCAGGGTTTTCGCGAAGCTCCTGAACTCGGCGACGGCGGACTGGCAGGACCCGCTGGTTGTGGTCTCCCACGCTCTCCCTTTCCAGCAACGTGAGGCCCTCGCCGTCCGTCGCGCGCTTGTCCTCGGGGAGCCCCCCCTGCCGCGCGGCGGCACGCTCCGCCCTGGTGGCCTGCACCTCCGGCCGCGGCTTGGCCCGTCGGGTCGCCGCCGCCGCCCGGGCCCGGCCCGCAGGGCGCGCGCGCGGTGCCGGCGGCGGCGGCGCAGCCCGCGCCAGGGCCGGCAGCGCGGCCGGGCTCGCCCGCCGCTTCGCCGCACCGCCTGGTCGGACCAGACTGCCCGACGGGGGGGGCGAGTCTCAGGAGAGGCCTCCAGATTCGGGACACCGCTGCGCGGGCGAGGAAGCCCCGTCGACATCTGGCTCTGCCAGTCCTGGCGGAGGCCGAAAGCCTGCCTGTTTGAGCCCAAATGGCTTTGGCTGGTAGCGTCGAGAGGGCTCATCAGCCACGTTCAACTCAGACCGAATCCACCGAACACGAGGATACAAGTCGGCCGCAAATACCGTCGCCGCCCACTGCCTGCACACTCTCATTAAGGCTACACTCGACGATCGGCCCTTCTCGAGGGCCAAGACCTCGGACAGCCCATCGGTCAAGAACAGGACTCGCTTGCCAAACTCGCTTAAACCTCGGCTGACGCGGCGGACTCCCCAGACCAGAGCACGGCCCTCCAAGATGGGCATCGCCTCCCGACGCTTCCAACGGCCGGCCGAGACGGTGGTCCAGGAGCCCTGGAGGATCTGAGGCCCGATCTCCAGGACAACCCCGCTACGGTCAACCTCGCCGAGGGCGTCCAGGTGCCGGGCCGTCCCGACACGGTCCAGGTCATCCAAACCGGCCGCCGCGGCCATGCTGAGCTCCTCCTGGAGCGAGGCGCCCCTCGGCCGAACCCGATCCTCAGCCCCCCGCGAGAAGCGCCACCGGTCCGACCACCGGCCAGCCTCCGCGACGGACTGGAGATCGCGTTCCGCCACGCACACACCTCGCCCCCAGGGGGAGGCGTCTGTACACCGCACCTTTGGGATCCACTCGGCATCGAGGCGACGACGGAGGAGGGGGGGGATCCCTATTGCCCAGCGGAGCTCCCTCCGCACGGCGGTCCACAACTTACGACGGGTCTCAGCCCCCCGCTGAGCGAACGCGCACGCCGCCGAGAACACGCAGAGGGCCTCAGGCCGAATTCGAGCGGCGAACGTGAAATGCCCCATGATGGCCTCGAGGTCCTCTCCAAGAGACCTTCGATGCCAAGACGGAGCCTCCACACTCTGCGAGGGCTCACACGAACAAGGGGACACTCTTCACTAAAGTCCCAACCCAAGACGGAGCCACCAGTCGAGCTCTCACGAGGGTGCATCCTGAGCCCCGCGGCGGTAAGAGCCTTGTGAACGGAGTCGGCCACGGCGTCGACCTCTTCGGCCCGACGGCCGATGGCAGCAAAGTTGTCTACGTATTCGGTGTGAGGAAACCCCGAGCGTCCCAGCTGCACTCACGGCTTCTTATCCGAGAGCTTGCTAGCGAGGGTCACGCCGGGCTGCCGAAAGGCATGATACTCGTGAATTCGCTGGCACCACCACAACGCATGGTTCCACCCCATGGGCACAACACGCAAATGAGGATACACCAGCTGAGATGGTGGGACAGGCGCACCGTCGAGCTCACCCACTCCGGCGAGTCCAGCCGTGACGGGTCGGAGGCAGAAGAGAGGCACCAGCTCAGAGGGGAGGAGAAGATGATAAAACGCATCCTGGATGTCGACCTGAGCCAAGCACACTGGGGGCCCGGGGTCGACCTCGAGAGAAGCAAACGATCCGCCTGCGGCAAGGTCCACAGGGTCAGGCTGAGCGAAGCACAGATTAGACAGACGAGCATCAACAATCAACCTCTGCTTGCCATTCTTTTTCCAAACAGTGAACAGGCCCACTCGAGGCGACCCGTGCCGCCTCCACTCGAGCATGCCTGCGCCGTCGAGGGCCGCCAGGAGGCGCGCGTACCTGCGCGGCCTGCCCTGCAGCGAAGGATCATAGCACGGGCGCTTCAAGGCCGACTCGGCCACCCGCGCCGCCGCCTCCGATGGAGGCAAGACTTTGTCTTTTAAAAAGGCTTCGACTACCATTGGACCCTCATCCCCGAGCAGCGTCGACAAGGCTCGAGGACCGTCCCCGCCAGAAGGCAAGGACAAGAGGGAAATGTCAAGCCGAGCGACAGACACCTTCTCTCCGGTGTAGCTGCGCTTAGCCAGGAGCTCCGCTAGGGCTCCCTGGCGCGTCAGGTCAGCGGGCGGGCGGCCGAGCTCGGCCACCGCAGTCTGGATCGTCCCCAAGCTGCGCTCCTGCCCGGCACTAGCCCGCAAGCCCAGCGGCTGCGGGTCAGAGGACCCTCGGTCGAGCTCGTTCAGCGTGACGGCGCAGCAGCGGGCCCAGTCTTCGCAATGAGCTCGCTCTCCTCGGCGGCGTTGGCCCCGACGAGACTTCGGCTGGCCACCCTCGCCGCTGTCCAGGCTCGGAAGGCGGTGGTGAGGAAGAGGAAGAAGATCACGATTGACGACCCTTCCCTCATGTGAGCCACGTACACTGGTCATGCCGGGGCCCATGTCCGGCGACCCCCCTGCATACACGCCGCGGGATCGGGGGCTCCCGCGGCGGCGCCCTTCACTGGTCATGTTTGCCCGCGAGGCGCCTCTCCTCGCGGGCCTTCCTCATCTGCTTCATGATGCCAGAGTCTCGCTCCAGCTCGGTTGCCACGTACGACAACAGCTCGGGGGCCACCATCACTTCTCCGTACTCGCGGTGCTTCCCGCTGAAGATCGCCATCTCCTCCACGCGGGCGCCCTTGCCGCCCTTCTTGTCCTGCTGCTTGCCGGTCTCCGCCTGCCGGCCGACCTCGTAGTAGAAGTACTCGATGAGCTGCATGCGCCTCAGGATGTCCTCGGCACTCGCCAAATTCACGACGTCGCACTGGTCGTGGGTCCCGAGGCGCTCCAGGATCTTCGCCAGTGTCTCGTGCTCCGACACCCCCCACTGGTCGAGGCTGAGTCGGTTGTCCGCGCGCCAGCGCCGATCCCAGCCGACGGGGCCCTCGCTGCGGCGGTCGAGGAACTGCGTACACCACTCCGCCGTCTGGGGGCCCGGCACCGGCCAGTCGTCCTGCTTCACCGCACTCACGTCGCGAGCCACGTCGCGCCATGGCCGGTGCCGAGCACCTCGCGAGTCCCTCTGCAGCTTCAGCAGCCTCGCGTCATGGTGGGCCTCCTTCGACCTGTAGGCCCCCACGTTCCCGTCGCCGATATCCTCGATCGATCAGCACGGACTCGCCCATCAGCACGATCACCCCCTTGCGGCCGGCCACGAGCTCGGAGCCGTGGAAGGCCACGTCGTCTCCGCGGATCACGCCCCCGCCAGGGTACTCGACGCTCTCGGCGGCCACCCAGCGGACCGTGTGGACGGACACCGGCTGTGCGGTCGGCCGCGCGGGAGGCCTGAAGTCCTGGCCCACGCCCATCCGCCCCTGGAGGGCTGCCGGACCTGGGCCATCGTCCTCCCCGCCGCCGGGGGCCCCCGGCGCCGGCGGCTGCGCCGGCACGAAGGCGGGAGCTCCCGCCGCTACGCGGCCGGCGCCACCGCCAGGGCCGGCGGCCGCCCCTCCCGCTGCAGCATCCGCGGCCCCCACAGCGCCCCAGACGGCCACGCCGAACCCGCGCCGCTGGTCCTCCAGGCCGGCGGTGTAGGCGCTCTCCTGCATGAGCCGGCGGAGGGTGGCCGCCGACGGGAACTCGCCGAAGTGGTAGATCAGCTGCCGAGGGATCCCTTCAGGGACCTCACTGTTGGGCCCCAGCCACCGCACTGCCACGGCCTCATTGAAGTCCTCGATGTACATGTCACCATCCGGCGTCAATATCAGGGCCCGGGAGTCCGAGGACACCAGACCTGCGAGCACTATCCGCCAGTGCCACTCGGGGTCCCCGTAGTTCACCAGGCAGCTGCGGCCGGCCAGGTGAAGAGTACCCTGAGGATTGCGTCGAGGCTGCTGCATGGTGTCTCGCGCAGCACGTTCCCAGCACGAACCCGACCAGGACCGCCAGCCCGCCGAGCACGCACACGAAGCTCAGCGCCACACGCGTCTCGGGCCAGCACTCGTGCCGGCCCTCCGCCTCAGGCGCGCCCGCGCTCGCCCCGTCGCACGGAGGGCACGCGGGGGCCGGCGGACACGGCGGCGCTGGCGGCACCGCCGGGCAGGTGAGGGCCTCCGCAGCCGCCGCTGCCGGGCAGGTGACGCTCACCTGCGGGCAAGTGAGAGCTGGCGCCGGCGGGCACTGGCAGGCCGCCGCCGCTGGGCACGGAGGTGCTGCCGGGCACGGCGGGGGCTGGCACTTCCCCAGCCACGCGCCGCCCAGGTTGGCCACCCCCAACACGGCGGCCTGGGCAAGATGAGCCAGCATCAAAGGGCCGCCCCGGCCCGCTTCTCCTCCGCCCCGCGGAGGGGCTCGAGCCAGGGAAGACTATGGATCGGTGACGGCGTGTTCCGGTCTTCTGCATGTCATTAATCAGCAAGCTTTGTCATATATATATATATATATGAATAAGTGATGCCCTTTGTTTCACTGTACTAGAAAGGTGTGGAGTTTCGTTTGCATCTGCAAGTGGAATATCAATGGACAGATGCGGACCGAGCAACCCGCTTCATTATCTAACACTGTTTTTTGTTGGGAAGAATTCGACAGGACATGGGCCGACCCCAGCATTCCACAGAATTCATCATTGATTAGCTTGCTTTTCGCTTGGAATTCAAAAGGGCATGCGCCGATCACACCCTCCAGCAGAATGTGCTTAATGTTTTACTTGGCGTCCAATGGGACTTTGATCAGACATGCGCTAAGCCCAATCTCCCGCAGAAGTCTGCTTTTTTATATCGGAATTGATTAGGACATGCGCTGATCCCAGACTCCTGCAGAGTCATATGATATTCTATGTGTTTGGCAATCGAGATTCAGTAGAACACGCGCTGATCCCAACCCCGCGCAACAATCTACAAATACCTGTTTGCTTGGCAATGGGAATTAAATCTGACGCGCACTGATCCCACCCTCCCGCAGATCTCTACCACGTGGCATGTAGCTTCAATCCAAAACCAATCGGACCCCAGCCTCCCGCAAAAGTATGAAATAGTTGATGCGTTTCTTTCCAATTGAATGCAGGAAGACAAGCGCTGACCCCAGCCTCCCGCAGAATCCTTTGATCTCCCATTTGTTTGTCACGAAACATTTAAAAGGAAATGCGCCGATCCCAGCGTTCCGCAGAATTCTTCAATATTCGATGTCATTTAGATACGGCTTTGATAATAAATCCGCTGATCCAAGCCTACCGCAAAATGCTTGAACATTATATGTGCTTCTCTATGTGCCTCAATGGGCATTGCGCTTGTCCCGTTATCCCACATAATGATGGTGTAATATGTATGCCGTGCGTTTGTTTTGACACGCATTCAAAAGAAAATGCGCTGACCCCAGCCTCCCATCAGAATTCTAGAATCGGTTAGTTGTTTTCAGAAGGAATTTCATAGGAGAATGAACCTGTGAATCTCTGAGGAATCCCAGAGGAATCTCTCAGGAATCTGTACAAGAATCTCTGAGAAATCTGGAGGGAATCTCTAAGGAATCTCTACGGAGCTTCCAAAGCGGTTGGAACTGGTACCAATTAGGTTGGAGTTGGTACCGAAATGGTTGGAATCCGTCCCGAGGCGATTCTAATCCGTCCCATTTTCGGTTTGATGCACCCCCCGCCCTGCCCGCAGCGGCAGAAAGCGCTCTTTCAGAGCGCAGCAGGTGGGGCAGGAAGAGAAAGACGAGGAGGAGGAGGAGGAGGAGGAGGAGAAGGAGAAGGAGGAGGAGGAGAGGCGCGAGAATGACTAGCCGGAGCGCGAGCGGGAGAGGAAGCGGGAGCATGAGGAACAGCGGGTGGAGGAGCGCGCAGCAGCTGGCAGGCCGAACGCAGCCGGCCGGCGCCATCGCCAGGGGCGGGCGCCGGCCTGATGCACCTTCGCCGAGGCTCCGTGGGGAAACGCCGGGGAGCCAGCCTGCCCAGCGGCACTGGCGAGGTGGCGGCGCAGGAAGGAGGCAGGAGGGAGGAGGAGGAGGAGGAGGAGGAGGAGGAGGAGGAAGAGGAAGAGGAAGAGGAAGAGAGGAGAGAGAGAGAGAAGACGGAGGAGGAGGAGGAGGACGACGAGAAGGGTGAGGGAGGAGGAGGAAGAGGAGAGGAGGAGGAGAAGGAGGAGAGGAGAGGAGGAGAAGAGGAGGAAGAGGAGGAGGAGAGGAAAGAGAGGAGGAGGGAGGAGAGTAGAGAGAGGAGAGAGGTAAGAGGAGGAGGAGGAGGAGGAAGGAAAGAGGAGAGGAAGAGGAAGAGGAGAGGAGGAGGAGGAGGAGGAGGAGAAAGAGGAGGATGGGGGGGAGGAGGAGGAGGAGAGGAGAGGAGGAGAGGAGGAGGAGGAGGAGGAGGAGTGAGGAGGAGGAGGAGGCGGAGGAGGAGGAGGAGGAGGCGGAGGGAGGAGAGGAGGAGAGGGAGGAAGGAGGAGAGGAGGCAGGACGAGGAGAGAGAGGAGGAGGAGGGAGGAGGAGGAGGAGAGAGAGGAGGGAGGAGGAGGAGGGAGGAGAGGAGGAGGATGAGGAGGAGGAGGAGGATGAGAGGAGGAGGAGGAGGAGGAGGAAGGAGGAGGAGGAGGAGGAGGAGGAGGAGGAGGAGGAGGAGGTGGAGGAGGGAGGAGGATGGAGGAGGAGGGGAGGAAGATGAGAAGGGAGAGAGAAGATGGATAAGGGAAGGAAAGGATAGGAGAGAGGAGAGAGGAGGACAGAGGAGAGAGGAGAGAGGGAGGAGGAGGAGGAGAAGCAGCAGGAGGAGGACAGTAGGAGGAGAGGGGATGGCATAAAGAGGAGTAGTAGGAGGCGAGAGGAGAGAGGGGGGGATTCTGGAGAAGACATGAGGGAGGGGAGAGCAGGGAGACTGGCGCAAGATGAGGGAGGAGGGGGAGGAGGAGGAAGAGGATGAGGAAGAGGAGGTGGAGAAGGAGGAGGAGAAGGACGCGGAAGGAGGAGATAGGAGAGAGAAGGAAGAGAAAGAGGATGGGATATGATAGGCACTTGGAAGCATGTCAACAGCACCGAGGCCTAAGATACTGATGTGCATCTGCGAAAGAAATGGAAGGGCAAATAGGATACCAGGCGTGCTGCGGCATGACTGTAGCAATAGGAGGCGGGAGAATGAGGAGGGACAGGAGGAGGTAGTCCTACCCTTCCTCCTCCTCCTCATCCTCCTCCTCCTCCTCCTCCTCCTCCTTCTCCTCGTCCTCATACGCCCATTCCTGTCCATCATCACTACCATCATAATCATCACCACTACCACCACCATCATCGTCATCATCAGCATCATCATCATCAGCAGCAGCATCATCAGCATCATCGTCAGCAGCATCACCACCACCACCACCGGCATCGCCATACCAGCACCATCATCATCATCATAATCACCATCATAATCATCACCACCACCACCACCACCACCATCATCATCATCATCATCATCATCATCATCATCGTCATCATCATCATCATCATCGTCGTCATGATCATCAGCATCATCATATTCATCAGCATCATCGTCATCATCAGATTCATCATCATCAGCAGCAGCATCAGCATCAGCATCATGCTCATTGTCAGATTCGTCGGTATCCTCAGTATCATCATCAGCATCACCAGCAGCATCATCAGCATCATCGTGGTCGTCAACATCGCCAACGTCGACATCAGCATCATCATCATCATCATCATCATCATCATCATCATCATCATCATCATCATCATCATCATCATCATCATCGTCATCGTCATCGTCATCGTCATCGTCGGCGTCTTCGTCGTCGTCAGTGCCACCACCGCCACCACCACCATCATCATCACCATCACCACCACCAGCAGAACCAAAATCAACACCATTTCACCACCATCATCACAACCAACATGAGCTGGATCCTACCTCTCCTCTACCTTCGCCTGCTTGTGAAACTGTCATTATCATCCTCCTCATAATTCGGCCTATGTTCTGCCCGAGATGCCTTCACGCCTAATTTGCACACGGATGGAGAACAATCATTTTTTTTTTCAAAACGGGTTTCTCACTGGACACATCGTTGAACTGTACAGTCATCGGCCTGACCTACGGAACGATAAATAAGGAACGAAGCCCCTGTTTTTCCTGGGAACAACGCATAAGGAACGATGGATACTAAACAACGCATAAGGAACGACAAAGAACGCATGCGAACCTAAGGAACAACTGAGCCCCTGTTGAAAAGGAAGGGTTCCTCATTGAAGCCGCTCACTGTACGGCCAGACCTTTTCGCATCCCATGCGCAGTTCCTGGTCAAGACGGGCTCTCTCGCCCGAGTGGCAGGCCCGCGGGAGGCTCCTCCCTCAAGGGGGCGCCTCCTGCAGTGAAGGGAGGGCTTGTGGGGGCGTATGAGGCGGAGACTTGGGGCGGGAGGGTGTTTTGCAGCATCGTTGACGCATCATGGGTTTACTCTAGTCCTCCTCAAAATCCTTCTCCTCCGCCTCCTCCTCCTCCTCTTCCTCGTTCGCCAGTCCGACCTGAGCCACCCCACATTAGATGGGGAGGGGGCACGGACGGGGAAAAGAAGCAGAAACAGGAGTGAGGAGGGGCGGAGAAGAAGGAGAAGGAGCGAAGGAGGAGGAACAGAAGATAAGCGATGGGGGAGTGAGGCAGGAAAGAGGAGGACGGAAGAGAAGGACGACGCAAGGCAAGGCCGACAGACGGTCTGGAGTCGACATCTCGGCAGCACTGAACCCCTACGTGTGGATATGGAGCGCAGGCCCGACACTTGGCCAGTGGAAGAGGAGGGAGGGGAAGCAAGAAGGAGGTTCGGAAACTCTCCTGCAGCATGCATGGCCCAGGCACGAATCTCAGTGTTTCGCTGAACCGAGGGGGGAGCATTATACGAGTATCCAATACTTCTATGATGGTCGCCTCGTCCCTAATGACGGATCTAGGTACCCTTCAACCCTATAGAGAGTTTGCTAGTCCTTCCATACCCTCTCCGCCTCCAACTCTCAGATTCCACATCCTCCTGCCACCCTGATCCTCCTCCTCCTGCTGCTGCTACTCCTTCTCGGCCTCCTGCTCCGACTCCATGAATATACTCATACTCTTCATCTTCCTGATCATCCTCCTCATTCTCCTCCCGCCATGGTTTTCCTCCGCCTTCTTCTCCTCGTGCTCCTCCTCCGCCGCCTTTTCCTCCTCCTCCTCCTCCTTCTCCTCCTCCTCCTCCTCCGTACCATCGTCATCATCATCATCATCATCATCATCATCACCACCATCATCATGTTCATCATCATCAGCAGCAGCACCACCACCACCAGCGTCGGCGTCG